TAATGGTTGAAAACATTGGAATGTGCTCTTCACTGCATCCATACTAAATGATACAATTTAGTAGAAGAATGCAATTAATAACGTGTGATAGGGGTGCGGCGGATAAGTAATGATAGGCGTTCTTGTGGACTTTCGTGAATTTTCCGAGTGTAGAAGATTTAGCAAAGGTTGGTCACTGCGAGAGAAGTAATCGACAAGAGCGAAAATGCCCAACTGTTTTACGAGTAAATCATCGAATGTACCGGATTCTACTCACCTTCTTGTTGTAATACTGAGTGAAAAGTGGATCAAAATCTTCCGCGGTCGTTTCCCCTCTTTCCAAAGCTTCAAAATGATCTCTTACTGGTGGTGTGAGCAGAGCCCTCATTAGAGAGCCTCTGTCGAATTCCAGTTTCTTCTCAAGGGCTAAAAATCAATCTCAGAAAAGAGATCAAGATGGATGTGATTCATTTTGATGCCGAACTTGTTAGTCAGATTATACGTACAAAGGAGGTGACTTACATCTGAATAATGGTTTTGAAGATCCTGTAAGTTTATGTTTCTTATTTGAAATGTTTCAATTTTTAAGTTCACTGATGGTATGTACCTCTCCACATCCCATAGGGTGCTTCTATCAACACACCTCCCATATCGAATATAACTGCTTTGATAGACATAACTGAAAGTCTTGAAATTTCATAAGAAAAGCGTGATGGATATATCATGCGAGAGTAACGAGAAAATTATGAACTGACGAGAATGCGATTGCAACTGCATCATTTCCAGATTACGTGACGACAGTGAAGAGCTGTCAATCATAGAATGAGATGCTACTATTGCCGTGACTGCCGTGATAACTATCATTGCACTTTTTCGCTTATGAATGGAAGGCAATATAAGTACGTAATGTTTTGAGTGCGGAATGCAGGAGAAGGGAATGGCTTTGATTTGAGCCTGCCGGACATACATAATGCGATTCATCTGCCTGTACGCCAGATTTCTCAAATCCAGCACCGGCACACCGCAAATGCACGGCGTCTATTACATCTCATCAAATTTACAGACATCTCCCCGGA